GGGGGGGGGGGACGCCCCTCCCGTCCGAAAGCCGCGGCTCCGGCTAGATGAGGATTCTCACGGGTTCCCCTGAAAACCCCCAATCTCCCTCCAGGGCCAGCGGGTGTCTTGGGGGACGAGGGTGAGTGAGGAACGAAGCTGGAAGCCTTGCGAATCAATCAACAGGTATTTACTGGTTCCAAGTACCAAGCAGGGCCGGGCGCTGCCAGGTGCCGAGGAACAAGGGAAGGCAGGCGAGCAAGGGTGTCCCCTCCAGTCCCCAGACACCCCCGCTCCGTCCGCCCTGAGTTCCCTTTAGCTCGCAGCTTCCTGTCCTCCGAGGCAAAAAGTTCACGGTTCTCAGGGCCGCTACCGGCAAACGGTTTCTGCGGCTGTTGGGACCACACTGACCCCTCTCGGGTGCCGATAACAGTCCCCAGGGAGGTTTGCAGAAGGGGCTCCGAGGAGCTAGAGCTGGCTCCTCTCAAAAGTTGTGACAGCTTGCCCTGTCTACTCCCCCTACTCCCCTTCACCGGGCTCTGATTCAGACAAACCTCGTTTCCCAAATCCCTGTGTGACCTTGGGCAAGCTGGTTAGCCCCTCTAGATGGATTACCTTCTATGTAAATTGGGAATAATACTAGTGCGTACACCACAGCGAACATTGGGGTAATAAACGTGAAGTTTTTAACAAGGTGCTTGGAACTCAGTAAGAGTTTAATGCTAGTAAGAGTAGTAACAGCATTATTATTGTTATTATTATTATTATTGCTATTATTATTAGCATTGCCATTCAATTCTGCACTGCTCCTCAGAGGCATTATTACAAGGTCCTTTCAATGATGGCTGAAAATACTCAACTGTAATTTTTTTTCATCTACATCCATCATCCAAAACAAGTTATTTGACATGGTTGGTGGTTGGAGGTCTGTGGGGAAGGCTGAGAATCCTGGGGGTTATTGCTACTAGGTCTGTAGCCAGAAATTAAATCAATAAGGGAACAATGAGATTACAAAAAGTGGACAGAGGTATGTGAGTGAGTGGTGAAAGATTATTCAAGAGAACATTAGCGAAGGGCCTAGGGATTTTCTTTACTGAGGACTTGGGAAAGAATCCTTCTCTCACTTCAGTGAGGGGAAAACGGTCCAGGAAGGAAAGGGTGTGGAGCCAGAACCATCCTTTCCAATCAATCCCTTCCTTTTCCTACCAGACCATGTAACAAGGTTGGCCTGATTGGCCGGCTTTTCTAATGACTCTTGGTGGCAGATTCTGACTGGTTAGCAGCTTCCCTGCTCAGTAGTGACGAAGAAAGGAGATTGATTTTTTTCTTTCTCAGGATTGGTTAACAAATCAGGGCCAGAGACTCCTTTTAATTGACTGGATAGGCGAGGAGGGAGGTCCAGCACCTCTCATACAGAAATTCCGTGTTCTTTTCCACAAAGGTCACCAAGAAAGAGCCTTGATAGGTTTATGCATGTTTGCTTTTAGAAAGACACAGTAGTTTAGTGAAGAAGAATCAAGAGAATCATGCAGGCATGCTACAGCTCAATTTGAAACCTCAAACAGAGGGAGGAATTCACAGGGAGAAACATAAAAGGGATAAAAAGAGAGAGAGAGAGACTAGGACACATGGAAACACAAAGAAAAATAATTGCCAGAGAGGAGAGGAAGGGTTTGAATAATTTGTTTTTCACTCCTGATGGTTTAAGGTGAAGCTACTCTATGATGCATTTTGCTAGATGCACATGTGGCCAGCACACGGCACGGAAAGAATAGCTGGCTTGGAGGCAGGAGACTGGGAGTCTAGTCCCAGCCTTGCTACTAACTACCTGAGTAACTGCACGTTTCTTCACCTGTCAAAGCTCCAGTTTCCTCAGTTGGAGAGAGAAGTAGGTGGTTTCTAAGGTTCCATCCAGAGTTAACCTTCTAGGAGTCCCTTTCTTTCTGCTCAACAAGGAATTTTGTACAAGTTAAAGTGGTACCTTTGCACTGCCAATATGGACTATTCTTAGGCCTTAAACTCCTCTGTTTATGATTGCTAATTTCAAGCTCCTGAGGCTGGGTGGATTTGACACTTTCTCATACTAAATCAGTTCCTCAGGACAGCAGAACCGTGAAGCCATTAATTAGCAAACCAACCTATTCTGGGAGAAAGAAAACAGTAAATGAAGGAAGGAAAACGATCCTTAGTGTCCAGGCTTCTGAGGGAGAATTGGTGGCAAAAGGATGACCAAACAAATTTTTGCTGGGGAAGAATCTAAGTTCTTCTGAATTGGTAAGGTGAATTTGTACAGGTCCTGCATATTTATCTAGAAGCCATGTTAAGTATCTATGTGAACAGATTTGGTCCCTGCCATTTAGAGGCTCCCAAGCCAAGGAACACACACAGACAAAACAGAAAATAAAAGTCATTGTGATATATTGTGAAGAGCTAAGGGCAGGAAACTAGAGATCTGAATCTAGATTTTAGAAACCTACTAATTAATCATGTGACTTTAGGAAAATCACTTCCCCTTTATAGAATTCAGTTGTTTTCTCTTGCAAAATGTAGGAAAACACTAGGTGACTGTTAAGTTCTCTTTCAGTTTTAAATATAAATAGCATAGATTTGTCCTTCCTGGTTTGCCCTTGTCTCCTATGACTTCAATTAAACAACCAATATTTATTGAGCATCTACTATGTGCAAGGTATTGTGCTACATATTGAGAATAAAGAGGAAGGCATAATCCCCTCATAAATTTATAGTCAGTAAGAAAGACATGTACATGTATAATAATAAAAGGGTAATATGCTAATTAGACCAGACATCTTCTGGACGTCATTCTGGACATCCTTCCTGACGAAGCTGGGGCTGGAGGGAAGCCAGCCCGGGTCCTGGGTGCCTGCAGGCGGTCCAAGTGAAGCCAGCCTAGGTCCTTGGTGCCTGCAGGTGGACCAAGGGAAGCCAGCCCAGGTCCCTGGTGCTGAGGGAAGCCAGTGCCAGCAGCGGGGGAAGGAAGGCCTACACTTGCATGAATTTTTGTGCATAGGGCCTCTAGTATATAATATGTGGCAAAATTTAATAGGTTAAAAGGGTAATAGGAGTTGAGGAGGTAGTATGACTTTCAGTTACAATAATCAAGGGGCACCATGAGTAAAGTAGGTATTTTTCTTCTTTTTAGAAAGCATGAAGTATTTGAATTATATAAAAGTTGCAAGTAACGAATATCATTTATTCAACAGATATTTATTGAGATCCTATGTGTGAGGCACTATCCTAGGTTCTGGAAACACAGCTCTGAACAAAACAGGACAAAAATCCTTGCCTTCCTAGAGCTGACATTTTATATAAATCACTAGAGGCCCGGTGCACAAATTCATGCACCAGTGGGGTCCCTCGGCCTGGCCTGTGGGATCAGGCTGAAACAGGCTCTCCAACATCCCCTGAGGGATCCCGGATTGCAAGAGGGTGCAGGCCAGGCTGAGTGACCCCACCGGTGCATGATTGAGGCCAGGGAGGGACCTCAGGAGGGTTCCAGGGCGTGTCCAGCCTGTCTCAGTCCAGATCGGCCGGACCCCAACAGCAAGCTAACCTATAGGTCAGAGCATCTGCCCCCTGGTGGTCAGTGTACATCATAGCAAGTAGTTGAGCAGCCTTAGCATATCATTAGCATATTATTCTTTGATTGGTCAACCAGACACTTGGCATATTAGGCTTTTATTATATAGGAAAGATGAAGCATAATAATAAAATGGACACCCCTTAAACCACCCCTAATTCAAGAAAAGAAAAAAAAATACTAGTACCATGGGGGAGGGGGGCCATATGCTGCTCTCCTATAGTAGCCCCTGAATTTTATGTTTACCATTTCAAGGTTTTTCTTGATATAGTGCCATATATTGTTTATTTTGGGCTCCACCCTTTAAAAAACATTCTAAGAGTGGTATAAATTATTTTTAGACTTCTTTGCTTGCTCTTTTATTTAACATTTTGTTTCTAATATTCATCCATGTTGATGTAGGCAGCTGTAGTTTCTTTATTTTCATTGATGTATAATAATCCACCAACTTGTTGATTAATTACCCTGTTGATGAGTAGTTAAGTTTGTTTCTAGCTTTTTGCCATTACAAACAATGCTTCTCAGAACATTTCTGTACATGTCTCCTGGTGTACATGGGCAATAGTTTCTTGGATTGTAGGATATGAAAATCTTTAAGTTTTCTAGATAATGTCAAATTGTTTTCCAATATTTATGCCCATCAAAGTATATAAGATTTCAGTTGCTACCTATCCTTACCAATTTTGGTATTTAGTCAATCTGTTGAATATAAAATGGTATTTCATGGTGGTTTCAATTTATATTTGCCTGGTTATTAATGAGGTTGAGCACTTTTTTATATATTTATTGGTCAATCATGTTTCCTCTTCTGTGAAATGCCTATTCATGTATGTCTTTTGCCTGTTTTCCTATTGGGTTACTTGTCATCTACATATTGATTTATAGAAATGTATATATATAGCCTAGTACTGATCCTTTGCTAGTGGCAGCTATTA